CAAAGCCCCTGGTGAAGCAGTTGGCTTTAGGCACCCCAGGCAGAGAAGGTTTCCATCTCTCTTTTCCCCAGAGGTGGTCGGGGCTGCAGCCCCGAAAGCACAATGGCGGGGCTCCTCCGAGCCCATCGCTACAATGCGCCGAGCAGACACGCTGCTCCATGGTCAGCAGCCTTCCCCCAGCTCCCTCCCTCCCCCTCGAGCTTTATTTGTTTATTATTTTCATCTCCTTCACGGAGCCATCCTGCGTTTTCCCAGCTTTGCCCTCCTCCTACCCTCTGTCCCGCCTATTGGACTGGAGCTCAGGGGGAGCCCTGCGAGTTTCTATATAACCAACCGCTCCGTGCAGCAAGTCACGAGAGGGGAGAAACATTCCCCAGAGCACGAGCCCACACACAAAAGCAAACTCCGGGATCTACGACGTTGTCCCAGGCCCTGCAGGACATGCCCAGCTCCCCGTGCAGCGGGAAGGAGCCGTGAGAGGGGAAGAAACCGATCCCAGGAGCATCCCAAGTTCGTGGTTAGGAGGAAGGTAACTTAACTCTAATGAAAAGCTTTGTTGGTCTGTGTGCTAATTTGCAAACAAAGTGATTTCCTGTTGTGGGGTGAATTTTTGCACATTTTTGGGTTGCCAGCCCACCAGTCCCCATTCCTGGGGAGGCATTTGAAGGGACCTCGCCTGAGCAAGGACTAAGAGGCGGGCAGGGAGGAGATCCAGCACAGCCCATGGGGGGAAGGTCCCTTGGCTTGTGGACCAGGCTGGGCTCTGGTCAGGGAAGCAATCGGGGATGTCGTGTTATCACCTGCCGTTCTCTCCCCTTTCCCCCACCCACGGCACTTTTGCTGCGAGAGGCGTTTATCCACAGAGAAGGTCTTTCTTGCGTTGGGCAGGGTTAGTCTGCCAGGAGAGCGCCAGGGGAGGTGCTCTGGAAGGCGACTTGCCCTGCCACAGCCAGGAGAGCAGGCAGCGTGCAGTGGTGGGAGACGACTCCACCTGGGATGTGGTCGGCTCTCCTGGGATCCCAGCAAGAGGACTCCTGCCCCCCCCCAGCTCACACTGGCACCTTTCAGACAGGAGCAGGCTGTGCAGGGCTGTGGCAATGGGTTTCAGTCTCACCTCCTCGCTGGGAATCATTCTCTGATGTCCGTGTCATGACTCCAGCATCTCCACTTTTTGCTACCAGAAGAGCCCCAGCTGGGCAGGTGGGGTGGGGGTGGCCCCTTCGGGCACCAAGCCCCTTCCCCAGATGATCACCAACATGAATAAAGGTCAGAGGATTTTAGGTCAAGTAATGCTGGCTTTGGCTTCACATCTGCTGGGCACTGAACGCGCTTCTTGACGTTCCCGTGCCTTAGTTTCCCCCACAAGTGAGAAAGGGTTACGCTTTCAAGCGCTCTGAGATGTGAGAGGCAGCACGGAGGGCAAGAAGTAAATGGGCTGAGGAGGAAAAAACAATGCTTCTCTTTTACTAAATTACTGGATTTTAAGGCAAGATGGGCAAGAAGTGCCTTTTTTCTTTAGTGCTTGGTAGCTGCACTGTGGAGGGGATGGGCAGGGTTCAGTGAGCTGCATCCTGTGATCTTCACTCACATGAGCTCTTCTGCCACATACCCAGGGGCTGAACGGCCACAGCAGGCTCTGTGGTCAGGGAGAGCAGATGGGAGCAGCCCGCTGCTGCAGAGCGCATGGATCACAACTTTCCAGGGACGCCCTGGTACCCCGCTGTCAGCTCTGACTCGAGGGGTCAGCGCCTTTCTCCGAGCCCCCAGACAGCCCTGAGTGACAGACACTTGTTTGTGCCACCCAAAGCTGCCCCCTGTGAGCTGCCCAGGCCCTGAAGGATCCCAGGCAGGAATTCTGAGCTGGGTCCGCTCTCTCCTATGAGCTGCAATCCTGTGGGCATGGTGGGGAGGAGAGGAGGGCATTGGCCAGGGCACCCCCCCACCAGAGAGCTGCCCCTGGTGTAGCCTGGGGCAGGACCTGAGCAGGGGGGGAGGCTAAAGTCCCTGCTCCCAGGTGAGAGCAGGGATTTGCACCCAGATCTCCAACGAGTCAGGTTTGTGCTCCTTTAGGTTATTTATCCATTCTCTTCCTTTCTTTCCTCCCCTCCTCCCCAACATAGCTGGGTGCCCAGCACCTGAGCAGGAGTCACGGCTGAGAACAACTTCAAATAGGCCAGAGCAAAGCCCACCCCGGGCAGGTGTCTCCAGGACAGCAGCTGGAGCAGATGTGTAGGTAAATGTCAGGAAAAAGGTGGCATTGGAGAAATTTCTCTGGCCAGAAGCTCCCAGATTTGGCAATCAGCTGATTAGGGATGTGCTGAGACCAGGGAGGGTACCAGGGCTTTCGTAGGCACCAAGGTCCAAGATCGTTCCAGCGAGGAGGTGGGAACATTTCTCTCCACGCACTGACTGGTGACAACTTTATGGGTCCTCAGCTTTCCCAAGGCTTCTCCAAAGGGTCTTTTGTGGAAGGAGGCGCCGCCTTGTCCAGGCTCCTTAACAACCAGCCATCCCAGTGCATAGCGCAGTCCCTTCCCAGAGTAGTTTATTCTGGCTATCCAAGGCGACAAGCTGGCATCCCACCACCCTCTCTTCAGGGAATTAGCTCTGCCTGTGCAGGGGGGGGAGCATGGGCTGAGGGTTCCCCCCGGTTTTCAGATGACATACACCTGCAGGCATCCCTCCGTGTTGGATAGCTGCGTACTTCCGAGAGCTGGGTGCTCACGGGCCAGATGTGGGTTGTTTCCCAACTGTTGTACGGAGACGCCTCTCGAAATGTTCTTCAAGGCACTGAAAACTGCTTTTTGATGCAGCCAGAGGCAGGCAGGTAATTTCCTTCTGGCTCACACCGATGTGGCTTATCTGCAAGACAAGTTGGAAAAGCTGCGTGAGTCCGCACAGATAAAAGGCCCAGGGAGCACGTGAGATTGCTAAGCACCAGGCATGGGTATTTCAGCAGGTAGAAACATGCTTATAGTGAGCTGAAAAGTGATGGGATCTTTAACTTTCCTGTGGTGAAGGTGTATCTGAGGTGCCATTATAAGGATACAAACCAGAAAAGAAACAGGTTTAAAATGGGGTTGTTTTAACAGAATTGGACATGTAACTCTCTAGTTCGTGAGGTCTAAGCTGTGATTGAAGGGTTTTGGCTATTTTATTGCCTGTTTGACACATAACTAGGAATAAATGTTAGGCTTCCTCCTAAACCTGCTTGTTTGCAGTTTGAAGTACTAAGGACCTGACTGAAGGACGTAAGAGGGTCAGGAAGGACTAAGCCTGAGTGAGATTTTCTGACAAGAACAGTAAGGTGAAACGGAAAAGGGTATGTCTGGTTAGGCTGGTTCTTTGGGGAAGAGTCCAGGCTCACGCTGGGTGGGCTGGGGGTCTTTCCAACAACTGAAAA